AGGCACATTGAAGCCTATTGTGACTATAACAGGATGTGGTTCATCTCCGCCTGGAACGTTGCTGGTGCGTTGCAGAGTCTGAACGGCATCACTAAGTACTCGTAGGAGCCGTATCTGGTACGGAACGCCGTCTTGTGGATCGAGTTGTCCGCCATCTTGATCTGCCAGTAACCCGACCGTAAGTCCAGCTTCGAAAAGACTGTTGCACCACGCAGTTGGTCCAGTAGGTCGTCTATGCGCGGTATAGGATATTTGTTCTTGAGTGTCGATTTGTTCAGTGCGCGGTAGTCGATGCACATCCGTAAACTGCCGTCTGGTTTTGGGGTGAAGAGAATTATTGTTCTGTAGGGAGAGGTGGATGGGCGGATCAGTTGTCTGTCCAGTAAATATTCGATCTGTTTTTTCATGTCTGTCAATTCGGTCGGACTCAGTCAGTAAGGTGCACGTGAGACAGGTTTCGCACCTGGTTCCTCCACGATCTCATGCTCGTGGGTGCGTGCTGGAGGTACGCCTGCGGGTAGGTCGTCATACATTATATCTTTGTACTGCTCCAAGACCTCCTTCACTGCTGCAGGAAGCTCCGAACTCGGCTTCTCCTCCTCTGCTGCTGCCATGACCAGTGCTAGGTAACCCGTGTTACTCTCGTTCACCGTCCGTTCGAACCGTGCCAGTGTCGTTTCAGGAACATCCCCTGTGTTCGTCCAAGAGCTTCGTAGCTCTATCCGCTTCCCGTTGTTGTAGATGCACACCTTGCTGTTGACCCAATCGATCTCAGGGTTGAACCGCTTCAGGAAATCTCGCCCCAAGATGAAATCTAATCCTTTGATGTTGGTGACTGGTAGCTTCGGCTTCCACCTTAACGCACCTATATGCAGCTGCAGTGATGCTTCGCCGTGGATGGGAAGCTTCGTACCGTCCACCATTGTTGCTGAGAACTGGGTGTTCTCCTCCTCTTCTCCAATTTTCTCCAATGTTCCGCGGTCACACACTGAGTGAGATGCACCGCTGTCCACCAGTGCCTGGAGGCGTCGCCCATTGCATAACACCTCGAGAAGTAGTGGTCTCTACTTCGCCGAGTAGCCAAAGAGGGTCTCATTAATAGGATCATAGGGTACATCAAAATGAATACCTTCCCTATTTCCTATACCTGACTCAGCACTTTTCTCTTCCAACTTCACCTAGGGGGTAGGAGGATTTTTTCGAGGCTTGTCTATTTTTCCCTGAGCCTGGATTTGTCCTCTAAGCCTTTGCTATATAGGCTTCACCTGTGGGCAATGGGGAGCCTTAACACGGTGCTGCGGGGAGAGAATATTAACTCCACGGAACGCACGACCCTTTTCTACGCTCCGTAGTACTTTGCCCAACTTCTCGGGTACTTTTTCTTGGCCTCTAAATCTCCCCTGAGTTTTTCAAAGGCTTGGGAACCACGAGAAGCAATATTTTTCGTTAGAGTATCTTTATAGGATACTTTTAATTAATTCTTACTTTCGTGGGTGTTCGGCTGGAGTTTCCCGGTCGGTGCAGAGTCTTTTTTCGCGGAGCCTCCATTCGCCTCGGCGATTTCCCCTGATGCCGGCCGGTCGTGACGTTTTAGATTCGCGCCATCATTTTCTCCTTTTTTCACCCGCTCCGAAGTCGCCACGTCGTCGCCTTTTCCTGCTTTTCGGATCTTTACGCGATCGCCAGGTCGATCCGCGGCTACTGGCGATTTCCGTTTTTTTTACTTCGGGGGTGCTCCACTGTTACTGCCTTGCAGTGCTGCATGTGCCTTTTTCATCTTGTATCACGACAAAATTTGATGCCCCGCTGCGCCGCAAAATTCGCATTTTGTCGGCTGCTGCTTTGCGTCGTATTTGTCGATGTCCATCGGTTCGGCGAACGTGGGGGGTGCCGATCGCTCCGTGCCGAATGTACGGTTCGGCGCGAAACGTCGTGTTTCGGGTTGACCTCGAGTCAACGCGTCGTATCGCTCGGCAGCACGCACAATGTCGCGGTAATTGTTGTAATTCATTGCGATCACCTGTCAGCGAATCTCCAATTTTAACCCTTCTGTGTACGCCTGGATTTTTTCGCCTTCGGTCAGGTCGGGGATGCGGTTGAACAGTAGCTCCATCTGCTGCGTGTACTGTGCTACACTACTGTACTGTTTCTGACGGTGTATCTGCTGCCGCGCCATATAAGTCATATTAATTGGCTCGAATCGTTCGATGAGGTCTGCCCGAAACTGCGCCCACGATTTCTCCCCGCGGGCCACGTCAGTGTAGTAAATCCACTCTAGTGCCAGTCCACGTAACAGTGTCGCTGCAAGCCGAATCCGTGCTGCATCGTGTGTCGGGGTCGAACAGCCAATGGCCTCGAAGTAAATTTCGAGGGTTGCCACGAATCGTCGAAAGTTAGATCCTTTCGCACTGGGATCGAACACTTCGGGGAGCCTCGGGCGTGCTGCTTCGAGGTTCGGCGATAGTGGTGCCATCGGTCCGTAAAATGTCGGTGTCGTCACTGCTGCTGGTGTTGTTGCTGCTGCGTTCGCTGCTGCTGCGGTGGTGGCTCCTGGTTGGTGTGTCAGAAGGGCCTCGAGTCGTCGGATCGCCTCCTGCGTCTGCTCCATGTTGGTGCGGAGGCTTGCGATGACCCTCGTCGTTGCGTAATTGTCGCCTTGGCCCTCCATGCCTGACATTGTCGCCCCCGGGGTTTTTTTAAAGCCGGCAGCCCAAATTGCACATGTTTTAAAAAGTTGACGGGAGGGGAGTTTTACTGGGTTGGGTTTTGGCGAGCGTTACGGATTTCGTTGAAGTCGTTTGTTTCGCCAAACCCAGCCAGCCCCCCGTTTTTGCCCTGGTGTGAGTTTGTGAGACCCGAAAGTCCCAAATTGCAGCCGCGCTTCTTTTCAAAAGCTTGCAGAGCCAACTTCGTCAAGTTTTAAAAACTTGACCCGCGCGGTCCGCAATTTGGGCCGCGGGCTTTAAGACTCGGTTTTAGCGGTCGAAAGCTCTCGCGTGTAAACGGGCTCTGATTACCAAGTGTGAGGATCTAGGATCGAGCTCAGAAAAAATGATTTGAATTGAATGAATCACCTGGGTACAAGGCGAGGCTATATATAGGCTCGACACAAGGGGCAGTAACCAGGTGTTACGTGAAGGTTCCGAGGGTCGCGAAGCGTCCCGAACAGACCCTTCCCGAATTCGGTAGAAGGCAATTTGGTGGCAACCGAATAGCCTAGAATTCGGTGTACGCAACCTAGCTCGGTGCTATAACTATAATAAAATATAGGAAAGCACCTAGCCTAGGAAATCAAGCAATTCATGCATGCATAAAATAAACCTAAGCTAGTAATAGCGTAATAAGATAAAAGCAAGCATGCATGGCTGGCATAAGCCGTCGTACTCTCACACCCGCGTAGCTCGCGCACCGCCCATCTGCAGCCCGCGCGTCGCCCTGCTGGCCGCGCGCTGCCCTTCATAGCCCGCGCGCCGCCCTTGCAGCCCGCGCGCTGCCCTTTTGCAGCCCCGCGCGCTGCCCTGCTGGCCGCGCGGGGCCCCTACCTGCCCGCTCGCCGCCCTTTGCAGCCCGTGCGCCGCACTTCTGGCCGCGCGCCGACCCTACTTGGCCGCGCGCCGTCTTTTCTGCCCGCGGGCCGCTCTTCCCTGCACTGCCCTGCAGCCTACCCGTGCGCCGCCCTACTAAACGCATGCCACCCTGCTTTACCCGCTATGACTTCACTTCGTGACGGTGGGAGTGGTGGCGGTGGTGGTGGCAGCAGTGGGAGTGGTGGCGGCGGCCGTAGTGGCAGTCGCGGTGGAGCTGTTCAGTGGGGAGTTTCTGGCGGTGGCCAGATGCAGCTGCAGCGGCGTCCGCGCGAGACCCTTATGCCACGGCAGCTGCGCGAGTAGTACGCTAGGCGCAAACGGGTGGCTGAGGGTGACTGTTACCTGTGTGTGCCGCCCGACCCAGGTATAGCGGCTGCTGCTCTAGGTGCTAGTGAGTCTGCTCTCTTTGGTACTGCGCCTGCTGAGGCCTTGCACACCTTCACGCTTGACTCAGGTGCTTCCCGCTGCTTCTTTCGCGACAGTACCACAGTCCACTCCCTGCATGTGTTGCAATCTCTCTGGCTGACCCCTCTTGAGGCCTTGTTTTTGCACGTTCCACCACTGTTCTCCCGTGTCCGACGGTTCCGTAAGGCTCACTATCAGCTCTTCACCTCCCCTCGTTCTCTACGAACTTGGTGAGCAACGCAGTTCTCCAGGATGAATGGTTTGATACCTTTACCCATGGATGACAGCGTGTGGCGATTTTCACGTATGCACGGACGGGCCGTCACCTGGCCACGTTCACCTGTTGGCCTGGGTCGAGCCTGTACACACTGACTACTGAGCCTCCTCAGGTCGCTGCGTCTGGTCAGGTGTCTGCGTCAGGTCAGCTATCAGCCCCTTGTTCGTGTCGCCTCCTCTCGCACCAGACTCTCCTCTGGCACCACTGCCTTGGTCACCCCTCCCTGCCACGCCTCCGTAGCATGCACTCCTGCCTCATTGTCTTTGGCCATCCCAGGTCTCTGCCTCCCTTCCGCGCTCGCCTGCCCCGCCCTGCCTTCCTTGCGTCGAGGGGCGGCAGCGCGCCGCTCCTCACTCCTCCTCGTTTCCCTCGACGACCTCTCCTCCGCAGACTCTCAACATGGGTGTGTGGGGCCCAGCCCGCGTCCAGGGACAGGGCCGCGAGCGGTACTTTCTGCTGGTTGTCGACGACTATACGCGTTACACCACGGTCTTCCCCTTGCGCAGCAAGGGGGAGGTCCCTGATGTTCTGATCCCTTGGATCGGTGCTGTCCGTCTCCAGCTCCGCGAACGTTTCCACATGGACCTTCCTGTCCTGCGTCTACACTCTGACAGAGGTGGTGAGTTCTCCTCCGACCTCTTGCGGGACTTTGTCATGGGGAGGCCTCCCCGCAGCAGAATGGGGTTGCTGAGCGCCGCATTGGCTTAGTCATGGAGGTCGCTCGTACCTCCATGATCCATGCGGCTGCTCCCCATTTTCTGTGGCCGTTTGCGGTCCGGTACGCTGCGCATCAACTCAACCTCTGGCCTCGCACTCGCCTACACTTTGTTGGGTGGACGGGGGAGGTTGGCGATGCGTCGGTGTTCCGGGTCTGGGGCATCGTGCCTTTGTCCGCGATACCTCCGCGGACAAGCTCTCCTCCCGCGCCATTCCCTGTGTCTTCCTTGGCTTCCCCCCTAACGCGCCTGGCTAGCAGTTTTACTCCCTCACCTTCGTCGCGCCGTGTCTTCCCCTCTCAGGACGTCACGTTTGACGAGTCGGTTCCCTTTTACCGTCTCTTCTCCTTCCGCACTGCCCCGCTCCCCCCCCCGCCGCTCTTCCTTGCTCCAGGTCCCCCTCCGGTAGACCCCCTCCCCCCTCAAGGTCCTACTCCTTCAGGTGTGTCTCAGGTAGACCCACTCCCCTTGGTTGAGCCTGTCAATGTCACTGGTGATTCTGGTGCTGCTCAGGGTGCTGCGTCTGGTGGTGCTGAGTTTGTGGGTGCAGAGCCTGAGCGTGCGGAGCCTGGGGGTGCTGAGCCTGCGAGTGCGGAGCCTGGAGGTGCTGAGCCTGAGCGTGCGGAGCCTGGGGGTGCTGAGCCTGCGGGTGCGGAGCCTGGGGGTGCTGAGCATGCGGGTGCAGAGCCTGGGGGTGCTGAGCTTTGAGCGTGTGGAGCCTGGGGGTGCTGAGCCTGAGGGTGCGGAGCCTGGGGGTGCTGAGTCTGGGGGTGCTGGGTCTAGGAGTACTGCGTCTACACTACGGGAGCCTCTCTCACCACAGCAGCTGCGCGAGTGGTACGCTCGGCGCACCCGCCTTCGGAGTGGCGCTGCTGGAGCTGGAGGCCCTGGAGCTGCTAGTCCTGGAGGTGCTGGAGGTACTGTTGGTATTGGTGGTAGTGGGGGTACTGGAGCTACTAGTCCTGGAGGTCCTACCGGTGCCTCGCCACAGCAGAGGGTCTAGCCGGCGGGAGCCTCTCTCACCACAGCAGCTGCGCGAGTGGTACGCTCGGCGCACCCGCCTTCGGAGTGGCGCTGCTGGAGCCGGAAGCCCTGCCGCTGGAGGCACTGACACTGGAGGCACTGGAGCTGGAGGCCCTGCCGCTGGAGCCACTGGCGCTGGAGAAGCTGGAGTTGGAGACCCTGGAGCTGGAGGCACTGGAGCTGGAGGCGCTGGAGCTGGAGGCGCTGGAGCTGACGCTGGCCTTGGAGACCCTGAAGCTGGAGGCACTGGAGCTGGAGGTGCTGGAGCTGGAGGCGCTAGGGCTGGCGGTCCTGGAGCTGGAGGCACTGGAGTTGGAGGCTCTGGAGCTGGAGCAACTTGAGCTGGAGGTACTGGAGGTACTGGAGGAGCTAGAGCTGCTGGTGCTGGAGATGCTGGTGGTGCTTGCACTGCTGGTCCCTGAGGTGCTCGTACTGGAGCTGTTAGAGCTGGAGGTGCTGGAGCTGGAGGCGCTGGAGCTAGAGGCGCTGGAGCTGGAGGTTCTGGAGCTGCTGGAGGCGCTGGAGCTGCTGGTACTCGTACTGGAGGTGCTGGTGCTGGTGGTACTGGTGCTGGTGGTACTGCTCAGCGTCGACTGTTCTTCGCTCTGCCGTCTGCGTCGTCTCTGCCACTGCCTGAGGTGCTTAGCCTCCCGTCTTCTACTGGTCTCCCGTTACATCCAGGCTCCCCACTGCTTTCTCCTTCTCCTTACACTGAGCTGTCGGGCTCTCTTACGGAGCGTCGTGAGCCTGCGTCTCGTCCTGTCTCGCCTGTTCGCACTGGTCGCCGTGTTCCTCGTCCGCGTCCTCCTCCTGTCCCCGGCACTCACACTATGACACTTCGTCCTTCCTCTGTTCCACAGCGTGTCCCCCTGCCGTCTCCCCCTGCGTCCTCTTGTCCTGACGTTCCGGACCCTGAGTCTGACTTGGTCCGTGTTGCCAGCCCTACTATCACACGTTTCCAAGCCACTGTTATCACTGACACTTTGTTTGAGTCCAATGTTGCGTCTCCCTAAGTCGCTGAGCTTGTCGACTTTGCTGCTACTTGTCGTCTTGACTACGCTGCTAGTCTTGTTGCTGAGTCTGAGTCTGTCTGTCCTCTGTCCGTCGGGGGTGAGTGTGCTCTTGGCACGGACGTCCTTGAGGACAGGTAGGAGGACTTTGAGTGTCTTGCAGCTGCTGTACCTCATCTCGTGGCCATTATGCTTGCACCTGAGGGAGACCCGGATGCACCAGACATCCCGACCTCGTGCTCTTACGCAGAGGCGATTACGAGTCCCTACTCCTCTCAGTGGCAGACATCCATGGACGCAGAGATGGCATCCTGGAAGTCCATAGGCACTTACGTCGACGCAGTTCCCCCTCCTGGGGCGAACATAGTCGATGGCATGTGGATTTCAGGGTGAAGCGGCCGCCGGGTTCTCAGTCTGTCTTCAAGGATCGTTACGTTGCACAAAGCTTTAGTCAGCGCCAGGGAGTCGACTTCTTCCAGACCTTCTCCCCTACCCCAAAGATGACCACTTTTAGGGTGTTGCTGCACATTGCCGCTCAGCGTGACTACGAGCTCCACTCTCTTGACTTCAGCACAGCTTTCTTACAGGGCAGCCTGCACGAGGAGATCTGGCTGCGTCGCCCACCTGGCTTCACTGGGTCGTTTCCTGCAGGTACCCAGTGGAGCCTCCGGCGGCCAGTCTACGGTCTCCGCCAAGCGCCTCGTGAGTGGCACGACACACTAAGGATGACACTTGCGGTTCTTGGGTTTGCTCCTTCGGCTGCTGACCTGTCGTTGTTTCTACATCCTCGTGTACGTTGACGACTTGGTTTTTGCCACTGCTGACACTGAGGCACTGGCCCTTGTGAAGTCGGAGCTGCAAAAGAGACACACGTGCACAGACCTGGGTGAGCTGCACAGCTACCTTGGCTTGCAGATCACCCTGGACAGAGCACGGCGTACCATCACCCTGACTCAGTCACACATGGTGCAGGAGGTTCTTCAGTGCTTCGGCTTCACTGGGTCCTCGCCTCAGTCCACTCCTCTAGCTACCACCTTCGAACGAGTCCGTAGAGCCGAGTGGCCCTACCCAGAACTTGTGGGCTGCCTCATGTACCTGATGACCTGCACTCGACCTGACCTTGCCTACCCTCTTAGCATCCTAGCACACTACATTGCGCCCAGAAGACACCGACGAGAGCACTGGGAGGCTGCTAAGAGGGTGTTGCTTTACTTGTGCAGTACATTGGGCATGGGGCTCGTGCATGGAGGGCGGAGTCGAGTTGTCCTTACTGGACACTCCGACATGTCCTGAGTTGACGACCAGGCTACGCAGCGGTCGTCACAGGGTTACACTTTCAGCCTTGGCTCCGGCTCTGTTTCTTGGCGGTCTACCCGCTCGTCTTCTATTCTCAGCTCCAGTTGTGATGTTGAGATCTATGCAGGAGCCATGACTGCACAGGAGTTACGCTGGCTCACCTACCTACTGACCGACTTGGGTGAGCGGCCTCGTTCTCCTCCAGTTCTGTACGTCGACAACAAGGCTGCTATTACCTTGTGTCAGGAGCACAGACTGGAGCACAGAACGAAGCACATCGCTCTGCGTTACTTCCTTGCTCGAGAGTTGCAGTAGCGTGGTCAGCTTCGTCTTGCTTACGTGGCCACTCGGGCCAACACTGCTGATATATTCACCAAGGCACTTCCGCCTGGTGATCATCAGCGTTTCTGTACTGCTTTAGGCCTTGTGCCTGCTTCGTCTCACTTGCTCTTTGCGTGAATTTGCTTGTACTATGATCTATGAATATACCTGCATGCTCAATCTTGCTAGGTAGTGATCCTTGTACTGTTTGCTCTTTTTATATAACTCTGCATGTGAACTGGCCTTGTGGCCATTTGCTTGTGCTCAGAATGTGTGGTAATTTCGTGATCCACCCTGAGCTTGCTTTGCTCTTCTTGACTGGTCTTGTGACCACTGGTTCTCCCCCACTTTGCCTATGGGGGTGTGTCAAACTATAGTGATTTTTGTGCTGTGTAGGCTGTAATGGGGTAGCCCATAAGGGGTACAACTCAAGTTAGCCTCCTCCAATGGCGATCACTATCTATTTCATCGCCACTAGCCTCCCTGACCGCCTTGCTTCGGTTCGTGACGCGCTTCTTCTGAAGCACCCTAGCGAGCTCACTATCGGCGTCCTTGAGTCTGCTCTCAAGGACGTCGAGAGCAACCTCCGCTCGGTAGCCTCCGCCTCTGGTGCTGTGCCCCCCCCACTGTTTCACGGGTGCACGGTCTTTCAGCTGCCCACCTTTACTGCCTCCCTCGCCACTGCCGCTACTGACGTGACCGCAGCTGCTGTTACGACTTCTTCGCGGTCTAGGGGTCGGAGTGGCAGGCGGGGCGGCGGCGGCGGCTGCGGGGGCGGCGCTGCGGGTGGTGGTGGCGGGAGTGCAGGGGCTGGTGGAGCGCCTGGTGCTGCGTCTCGTGACCCCCCTCCCAGGATTGGTGGAGGTGCCGCTCGGGTTCCTGTGAGCCTGCCGCCTATGGGTACTGGAGCGGCGGCGTGGTACTTGACCCAGCGCCAGCAGCGCAGCAGCAGAAGCAGCAGCAGCAGCAGCAGCAGCAGCGGTAGCAGCAGCAGCAGCAGCAGCAGCAGCAGCAGCAGCAGCAGCAGCAGCAGCAGCAGCAGCAGCAGCAGCAGCAGCAGCAGCAGCAGCAGCAGCAGCAGCAGCAGCAGCAGCAGCAGCAGCAGCAGCAGCAGCAGCAGCAGCAGCAGCAGCAGCAGCAGCAGCAACAGCAGCAGCAGCAGCAGCAACAGCGGCAGCAGTAGCAGCAGCCGCCTCTCTCGAAGCAGCAGCAGGGGCAGCAGCCGACTCCAGGAGCACGTCAGCAGTCACGTGGTGACGTCCACCCTCCCTGCCCCTATATAATCCAGACAGGTACTCAAAGTAGCTTCTGCTGTGACCGCTGCCACCCGCGTGGTCAGTGCTTTGCTCAGCTCACTGACACCCTTCGCGCGGCCTACGGCGTTGACGGCCCTGCCCCTGACTGGCTTCCTCTTGTTCAATCCCACGGTGCTGCACTATGGGCCATGTCTGCTTCTCAGTTGCTTGATCTCTTAAGAACCCATCATGATATGTATAATGTTGTTGACTCTAGAGCTTTTGACTCTATTTACTCATCTGTTGTTAGCTTATGTGCTAGTGTTGATCATGTGCCTATTGCTAGTGTAGGTACTTACTTAGGTACTAGTCTAGGCACTGCTTCGGAGCGCTCTTCGTTGTCTTTCACCCTCGAGTCTGGAGCTTTGCACTATTTCTTCCGCGACCACATGGCTCTTACTCCGCTTCCTGTACCGGTCTTGGTAGCACTGGCTGGTCCCATTTCGGGACCCGTCACTACTCGCTACACTACTACGCTTTCGTGCCCGGCTGTACCCTCGGGTGTCCGGACCGGTTTTCATGTCCCCTCGTTCTCCAGGAATTTTGCGGGTGTGAGACCACTCGTGGACAGCCACGTGGGGGTTCGGATCGAGCCTTCTGGGGATACTGCGACGTGTGTAGACGGGTTTAGCGAGCGGAAGCTATAGTAGTCTTAGAACCTCCTCCTAAAGCCTAGGAATATTAGGAGTCAACTTGAGCATGAACCATGCTATAACCAAAGGGGACTTGGGAAGAAGTGAAGTTCTAACAAGAGATAACCTTAACTTATAAGGTTTGGGAGGTGGTCCACTCTAAATAGTATACACCACAAGTTCTCCCAACTCAACCGATGTATTCTACACTACTACTGTATTCTCCCGAACATAACACCCTACGGTGTAGCTATAAATACAGGGACAAAAAGGTGGGTGTCTTCTCATATGAAAAGGCTACATAATACCCGGGTGCATATTTTAGTGTAAGAGTTTTTTTTTAGGAGACAAGTTGAGTGTTTCCATAGGCGTTTTAACATCACATGTTTAGGCGCAAATGTGAGTCTTGACGCGAACACATGTATCAGAGCGAAGGTCTCGGGTTCGAATCCTGGTGTGTGCACCTCGGGCATCCTAGTGCGGGGGGGTGTCAGAGGTCCATTGGAGATCCCCGATTGATCCTAGGGAAGGGTTACAGGCACGTCGGCCTGGGGGGTTATGGACGCACTCACCCGCTACACAAACAAGCCCTTTTATCCTAGAAATTAGTGGCTGGGATTCTGACACATGTCACATGTGGCACCTCTCTGGGCACCTGCAGCGGAAGATTCACCAGCGCTTGGCGACAGCGAAATAATGGGGGGGGGGGGATCTTGACAGATTTGAACTGAAAGAACTGCGAAATTTTATCGAGGGAGAGATTTTCGCGATATCCTCCAATACTTGCACCTATTCGTTATCACCTATAATAAAGAATCTGAAAGAAAGGGGGGGTGTTATAAAATATTATCCAAAAGGGGGATATAGTACAAACCAGGGCCTCAGATTCATTTTTAGGGACCCTTGGCCCTCAGGGCATGACTCAGAAATGCGTGTCCTCCTCAGGGCAGAGCCCCTTGGGGGACCCTTATTTCTCATGGCATGCCATAACTAAACCCTGATGCTTCAGGCCTTTTTTTTTTTTTTTTTTTTTTTCATACTGTATTTGCTGTTGCCCTAGCTACAGCCGAGCAAAGAGGCGTTTTTAACAGATGGAACAAAATGGTGAACGAGGTGGCCAGGTGCCACCAACATGCACTGGTTTGAGATGGGTGGGGTGATGGGAGGTGGCAGACGCCTCGGGCAATGCCAGCGCACGTAGCCTACACGCGGGAACTTGACTAACAATATGCTAAGATTGGTCAACTAGGGACATGCAGCAGCAGACGTTTGAGTTCGTGCAAATCGTAAAGTGTTAGTGGTGGGTATGAGAGGGGTATTGTAACGGGTAGTCATGCCTGCCGCATCGCTGTATGTTGCCCCATGTGGGCCATTTTGTCGTCAATGTAAGTGGTGGTGGGCGACTCGCGTGTGTTCGGCGCAAAATTTCGGAAATCAAGAACTTCGCACAAGGGCCCCCTCTAGGCACACAGTGTAACTTATTCAGGGTACGCCATACAAGAACCCTGACGCCTCATGGTAGGCAGGTGTACACTACTCTGAAATCTCAAGGTAATATAGAACTGACATCCTGAAATCTCAGGGCTTAAAAAAAAAAAAAGACCCTGATTTTACATTCTTCATGGCAAGAGGGTTATGTTAACCCTGAAATCAAGGTAATTATGGTATTTTACACTGATATCAAGGGCCCTGGTACATACCCACCACATAGCACCCCTCCCGCACAAGCTACCCAGGGGTGTACAATTTCAGGGGGGTGTTATGCCCGGGAGGATACAGTCTAGTGTGGATCTAGCACTACATATGTTTATTGGAGCAACCCGAATTAACCATAATTCCAACAGAAAGGTACGTTCTCCTCCAGTGCAAGAGGGCTTCGGTCTGATTGGGTGGGCTTCGGTCTGATTGGGCGCTTACAGAATATGCTAGTCACAATCAGGGCTAATTTTATCAGTGTAAATCACCCTGATACCCTGATTATCAGGGTGGTTTTTGGTAGTCACACTGATGGCCTAGGAAAGTTTTCTCGGGAGCTAGGATTTTCCTGATATGCTAGGGTTTACATTTAAGGCACACTGATAACTCAGGGTTACCGATCTTCATAACGAGTTTTTCTCTGAAGCGAGTACCATACCCCCCCCAATCCCCCCCCTTCCACCCCACCCCCCTCCCCACCAAGCCCTCGCACTTCTGTCCCGCTATTGGATGCCAAAGCATGCTATTGGATGACTCACGTTGGAGTAGCCCGGTCGGTAGATTGGTCTTCGGAAGGATGAAGACCCGGGATTCGAATCCTGTAGCCGGCCTTTTTGTTCAAAACTTCAGTAGAAACACTTTATCAGGGTTCTGAAAATTGTTACACTGTGGCCTAAGGGTAAATTTCTTGAAACTATGGAAAACCTTGATGGAAAAGATTTTTCCCAAGGGGTCACACTGATAATCAGGGCTTTGCAAAGGTGCAGGACTGATGATAAGGGTTGCTTAAAACCAAAAATTAGCCCTGGTCACAATTACCGTATTACCCCGGATATAAGCGCATGTGCGCTTAGAATAAAACAGTGTTTTTTTGGGGGGGGGGGGGGGGGGGGGGGGGGGTGGGGGTATAATTGAGTCGAATTTATAAGCGCATGCGCCTGTCGAATTCAACCGACCATGCACCAAGTGGGATCGTGCATGGATTTCAGGCAAAAACAGCTGCGGTTCGGTTTCCCACCGCACAATGTTTTCTAGAACCATCGAACGTGACAGCAGTGACGGGGATGTTGCCGTGCGGCCCAATCACAGCCGCATGCGCTGCGTGGCATGTGCATTCGGGCAGAACCATCTTGAAGGGTGGGGAATATTCCTTGAAAGCGCAGCGTATATGCTGCCACGCAGGATCCTTTACGGGGGTAGGTGGGGGTTTCCTGCCTGTCATCGACGAGGACCCCGAGCCGCCAACCCACAGGGGTCCCCGTCTTTGCCTATTTGTGCACCCTCGTCTTCATTTTTTTCATTCAGTTTCCAGTCTAGGCCGCCTGGCAGTCGAAGCCATGGAGGAATTCAGTGGGACTCACATTGTCTTCAAGAAAAACCATGCCGCCCGTGGCGACTTACCAAGGACGGGTGGTATACCCGTGAGCCACCAGCGCCTCAAGTGCCACCGGAACCCCCTGCACCACCTGCTCCTCCTGCTCTTCCTGCGCCTCCTGCTCCACCTGCTCCTCCCGCTCCTCCCGCTCCTCCCGCTCCTCCCGCTCCTCCGAATCCACCTGATTCTGGTACGGCTAGTGCTCACCAACGGCCCGTGCTCCAGCTGTATTTACCAGCCACGTTCGACGAATGGCTGGCCAAAGGGGACACACCCAAGGCCCCCGATTCGTGCATCCAAGCTCCGGCGCCTGCACCACGGTGGAGACAGCCAGAAGCTTGCGCGTGGGATGAGTCGGCTGTGGGCGCCGACGATGATGTGGCCGCCGACAACAGTGGCGCCGGCGAAGCTGGAGGCGACGATGAAGCGGGCGACGAGGAGGACGTGTTCCCAGACCGTGATACAACTGCCGAGGACGATGACGGTGTGGAGTCTTGGTGGCGCGACGCACCACGCGAGAAGATGCCAATTCCGACGTATCCGCCAATTAACAAAAAACGCCCCCACCCGGATTCCGAGAACCGAGATGCCCACCCCCCGTCCCCCAGGCACAAGCCGACTCAACATAAGCGGCAGTCTTACACCGCCCAGGAGAAATTGAGGTGGCTCGTGCGGCTCAAGCTTGCGGCATCGGTAAGCGAGGTGGCGCGGGAGTCCGGCATACACCGAAAATGCCTAACAGAGTAGAAATCCCAAGCGAAGGCGCTCAAGGCTGCACACGGCGCATGGATGCGACTTCATGGGCGCGGGAGGTCTTCATGGGCGCGGTACAGACCTATGGAGTTAAAGGTGTACGCGCAACTCCTCGACCGGCGACGCCGCGGAGTTGCGGTTTCGGTCGGCCGGCTGCAAGAGTGGTCTCGCAAGGTGATGAAGGTGATGTTCCCTGACGTCAAGTGGAAAGGCAGTCAGCGGTCGACGGAGCGGTTCCGCAAGCGGTGGAACCTCAGCGTGCGCATGAAAACAAAGGTGGCGCAGAAAACACAGCAGCGTAAGTGGTTCGTTTACCCGTTGAATTCGAGCGAGCCCATTTATGATTTCTACATTTGTTGCCCGTCTCTTGTGCGCGATACTCATACGTCTTACTATGTGTCCTTCCCTCCCTGTGCGCAGACGTGGAGGAGCAGTGCAAAGAGTTTTGGCAGTTCTTCCGCGACCCACGCAATGAGTACGACATTGACAACCGCTATATTATCAACA